GCTGTCTCCAGTTCCCATAGCTATACCCCTTGAAGTTAATACTTTATTTCAGAACATTTGCTCAGTGTTAAAAAAAGATAAAAAATACCTTGGTTGATTATTTTGTTTTTAATTAAAAAAATGGAACAGAATCCCCAAAACAGTGTAAGAAGCCCAACAATTGGAGTGAGTTCCTAACCAGTTTAAGCGTCGCAGCAGGCAATAGTAAAATGTTAAATGCTTTCAAAAGTCAAAAGAAATGCATAAAGCAGAGCATGCATTTTGGTTGCCACAAACTTAAGATTGGATTTGGAGAGGGATTATTACTTCATTTAAACCACATTGTTATCATTAAATAATAGTGAGTTATAATGCAACAGCAAGGACAAGTATATAAGCACCTACTGACTAGCATTAGATTATCTAGAAATGACATAGTGTTACTAAATGAACATGTTTATAAAATACTGTACACTGCCTCCACATTTGGCCAGCAGATGTAAATAAACAGCTAAATCAACTGGAGTTTAAAATATTATTTTTAAGTTTGTTTGTCACATAGTTTGGTTTGTGTTGTTGTGTTTTTGTTTTCTTTTCTTTCTTTTTTTTTTTTTTTTTTTTTGCATAACATGCCGGTTGATCTTCCACAGAATTACAACTTGGTTACCACAGCTCATAGGGCTGGTTAGAAGATGTACATCAGCTTATGCAAATATTTTACAGTGGTCTACAGAAGTGTGGCAAACACAAAGCAGATCAGGAACAAAAATGCCTAGTTCACGAGGATGCTAAACAACATGGAGTTGGGAACATAATTAATCCTTGCAACATGTGCTTCTTTATTGAATGTTACAGATTTATCAGTAATTATAAAGTTGTCCTGTAACGTTCATTAATACAACCACATGCTACAAATGTGCTGGGTTAAACATAGGTTACATATATGCTTACATGTGTTTTATAATACATCATTGCCCAACATACTGAATAGAATAGTCTATAGATAGAACATGATGGATGACTGGATAATATTTATTATCATCATCAAAGAAGTTAAACAGTCCAAACACTTACGGAGGTTAGACTGCACAGCCTCTAACAGAGTGAATGTTCTATCCAGTAATCTACCATACCATTACCTATAGAGACCACACTTCAGAAAAACATTTGAAACATTCAGAATAAACACACTTTGTGTTTCTAGGAATACATTTCCCCCAGTTTTGATTGTTCATACACATATATATATATATTTTAAAGGGGACTTTCAAAGTGCTAAATAATATCCTACATCTGGAAGCTTAGATTTTTTTTTTAAAAAATCAGTCTGTAAAGTGCTGCATTCTGATGGCTAATATACGATTTGGCTTGGAGTAATACACAAGCCAACCACGACAATTGCCCAAACTTTCCAGCTTCTTGTTCTAACTCATCAAGGATGGGGTTTCTAACTAGAAATATAACTGTGTTTGTTAATCAGGAAACTTCCATGGTCATTTTCATAAAACATTTTTTCCCAAAGGAAAAATTAATTGAGAACAAATCATTGCATGTAGTAGTATATAAAAATTGGCACGTTAGAAGCAGATGGTTAAACCAAAGCTATTACTTTTTTGGGGTCTCTATGACTTTATTTATGCCCCTTAATAACTTCCTGCTCATGACCTGCTTAATTCACAGAGACAGGTTATTAACATCCCCTCGATCAGAGGCATGGGGGAATAAAAGGGCAGAGTAAAAGCTGACTGTCCAAGGCCACAGAGTCAATGCTACACTGGTGTTCAGAGAACCCAGGCATGGAAAGCAATGGATTAAAAGATAACACACATGTATGTTCATCAAAAAGACATGGTTTATGAACGTTACACCATTTGGTTTTATAGTGACTTAAGTTTGGCTTATACATTTCACACACTTCACAAACAATGTTAGAACTTAATTTCCAAGCAAAACAAAAGAGCTAGATAGTTCTAAAGTCAAGACTACTCATTATTTTGTTTCCCAAGTACGGTCACTTTCTCTCCAGAATTCATGATGAATTGAAACATGTATGCTAGTAATTTCTTTCCTCTACTGATTCTGGTCCAGGATGAGGTCCTGGAACTGCTATGATGTTCTGCTCTGTGGTCACCTCCTCCTTGGCTTCCTCTACAGACTCCCTCTGAGACTCTTCAGGTTTTGTAAATGGGCTTGCAACTTAAAATCATCAAACTGTTAGGACATGTGTTTATCAAACTAGCAACAATCTCATCTAAGGAATGAAAATAATGAAGTCTTGGTTCAAACCCTGGTGCTGAGACTTGGCCTTCCTGAGAATCACAGAGAAATGGTCTCAAATGTAAAGTGCTCATGACAACTGTATTGATTATCAACAAATATGGTTCCTTGTCCTCAATATTAATCAACATGGAACCAGAGGTTCATGGCAAGCTTAAAAGTCATATTTAAATTTTTTATGTATATTTCCCAACCCTTACCCCACCCTCTAGGGAATAAGACCAAAGCTTTCATCTGATTCTCACAGGGATTCTTTACTCAAGGAAGTTTAGAAACAGGTGATTTATTCTCAGACCAATGTGTGTGTTTGGTGAGGTACAATATGGGGCCCAACAAAAATGTAAGTGGAGGCTTCTCAAAGCAAATGACTGACATCCTATAGTCTGCTTGCTTGAGTGTTTGAGTAACCTAAATTACAAAAAGGGAAAAAAAGAAAGTCTTTAATTCTTGACATATTACGACCTCATCAGTATATTTTAAAAGCTTGATATTCAGGAAGGCTTTGCTTATCTATTTACTTGACTTTACAAAATGAGATAACTTTGGAGTTCACAGCTGAAATGAAACAAAATCGTGGGCCAGGAACATGAAATGATTGTTTTAAGGCTTCCTCCTTTTTTTAGATCCTAGCAATCTAAATAGGATTCTGAACGTTTTGGTCAAGACTTCTTTTTTCCACTTCAAATCCAGATTCTGGTTTGAAAGCTGTGCCTACATTCTACATTCTAGAATACTAATGGGCTTAGCACTGCATGTCTATTCAGATTGCACTTGGTGTAACAGCTCTGTGCAGGAGAAAACAGGAAAAAACAGAGTCATAGTCATGACGATTTCAGATAAAAAGGGACAGAGAGCAGGTTGAGGGTAGTTTTGACAATTCTCATTTGGTCCTAGGAAAAGGTAAGGTCATAGATGTTTAAAAAAATCCGAAATTCATTTGGTCTTAATAATATAACTAACACTTTCAGTGGAACTCCTTGAATATTAAAAAAGCCTAGTTATACCTCGAGGTGATAGAAAAGTCCAAGCCTCTTAAGAAAACTCTATATGTCTGTTTATATACAATATATAAACATGTCTCTCTGTGTAAATGCATATATATGTATATAAGCAGCATATATTATAGAACTCTTTATATGTTTTTCCTATTTTAGTCTACTGTCTCTTCTTTATAGCTCTGCATATAAGAAAAAAAATATTCATGGTATGCTTGCAGCTGATGGCTTTGGGTTGATACCAAACTCCCAGTCAATTCTAAGGTTATTTATGGTTTTGCAACTTCCTTAAAAAGCACTTTGGAACAGTTCCATAAAAAACGATATCATCCCTTGAAAAACTCCAATTAAATTTATGCTGAGCTCAGATTAGATGGCAAAACTCTTGGTATGAAAATATCCACATATATTCATGTATAAAATGGTCATGTGATACATGGTGTGAAAAATTGGCAGTTACATCGGAGAGGTGTTCAGAAGACATGATGGAGTCATGCACATGATGACAGTCACACAGCAGCAAGACACAGGACATGAATGGTGAGAATATAGCAATATTCCATATGGCATTTCTAAGTTAGTTCTTCTCACTGACGCTGGATTTTTAACTCCCCCCTGCAGTTAATATTACAGATCCAGTGAGTGAATTAAGTGATGACAACTGAGGTACAAAATAAATTAAAAAATATAAAATTATTTCATTACATTCATCCTGAGCTTGCTCAACTCTACTTGAATGCCCACTGTGCATCATCAAACACTTGACATTTGATTGTAACATCAATTCTTCTTTCATTTTGGATTGCAATACAAAAAAAAAAAAGGCATTTCTTTTCCCTTATTTTCTTCCAAAAAGAGAAACAGTGTGGCACCAGAAGTGAATAGATAAGAGACAGGTGAACTATGACTGTTACCTTGTTTTTTCTTTATAATGATCAATTACAGAAGTGTTGGCATGAGAAGGATGTGGGACGTTAGGAGAACTGCTTGCTGCCGGCTTATACTGAATAAAAAGGATGCTCTTCATCAGTCACCACAATGATGGAGCCAATGTGAAAAGAAAACAGAATGGAAGTTTAGAATATCTCATTTGTACGCTGGCTATCTTATTTTAGTTTGCAATTTAGTCCTGCATCCTACACTCTTGATAATGGTCAGAAATCAAAAGATGCCTCGTGGCATGGAGAATGCTCGATGCCCCTCCAGTCCCCAGAGTGCCTGGCTTTCTGAAGTGCCTGAAGATACACATTCATCTCTAACTCTTCTCCCAACTTTGGCCTCCCTCCCCAGCAAGCACGTATGTATGTAACTCACAATCCCTCTGTTGGCCCTGGGTCAAATGCTTTCTTGAGCACTTAATAGTCAAATGCCCAGGAGTCACCTCTGAGTTCTGGCTGAAGTGGAGTTGACTGTGACTCATAGTGTCCCCCCGGGTGCGTCAGAGTAGAACTGTGTCCCACAGGGTCAGAAGGAGAAGGTCAGGGTCAGATTTTGCAGAAGATCACCTGGCCTTGGTTTCAAGGGGCCTCTGGGTGGTCTCAAACCCTTAACCTGAGTGGATTACCATTTGCACCACCCAGGGGCTCCCACCTTTGCGTTAACTGAACACCTCCCAACGCATTGCTTGTTTTTTTTTTTTTTCAGCTAAGTCAACAGGGAGGTAAGACACTCAAGGGAGGGGGGTAAGGTGTGTTTGAGAGGGCTTTGAGGGCTGGGTCTTGAGCCTCCTGCGACCCGAGTCAAGAAGGTTTAGTTGTGCTTGCTTTCAAAGCTGTGGAAGGCAGATGTTCTGGACAGTCTCCTCATGGACAGGCTGTCCCCTCGGCCCTCCGGCTTGGAGGATTTACTCCTCTGGAACGGGTTTCGCAGGCTCCCAGTGTTCCTTTGCCGGTCAAGCTTGTCACTGATGGAGAAGCTCTTCCTGGTGTGAGAGTACTGTGCGCTGGGCTCCTCGGCTGAGTAGCTATTGGCACGCTCTATCTTGGGGACAGTGATGTTGTTGGAGGGCGTTCGGTCTGAGCTGTCGCTCTCCTGGGAGGGCAGCGCGATGGTGGCCCTGCGGCCTTTGGCCTCGTTATCCTCGCTGTCAGAGCTGGGGTGGCTCAGCTCTGCCTCTCTCTCGGGGTGGCAACACAGCAAGTCCTCCACCTTGTCACGCAGAGCCCCCGGGAGGGCGGCCCTGTCCGCGATGGCTTGGGGCGAGTTGACGCACCGTGTGTCGATGCAGTCTGTAATGCTCGTGTACTCGGCGGTTTTCACGGGCACCCCAAAGTTGGCGTAATAGCTCCTGGAGGGAGAGAACATGAAGCTGTGCGACTTGACGATGGGGGCCTCCTCCAGGAGGAAGGGCGTGGTGGCCAGGAGGCGGCTGCTCTTGGAGCGCTCGATGGCGTGGTAGGTGGGAGGCTCCGAGTCCCAGGGGTTTGGGCATTCCGGCAGCTGCGTATAGTCTGACGAAAAGGATCGAGTGTCCATGGAGGTGACGTCCTCGAAGTCCATGCTCCGGCTCGGGGGCCTGTCGGTGGGCGCAAGAGTGGCGTAGGCACTGCTCGAAGGGGCCGTGGAAGAGGCCAGAACTGAGAAGCTGGGCTCGCCCAGCCCCAGGATGTTCATGGAGTTGTCCAGCGGGTCCACCGGGTCTATGTCACAGTGGAGCTCGTCCATGGCAGACACGTAGATATCTATGCACGACGACGGCCTTCTGGAGTCAGGGACGATGGCCAAGGTGTTGGCAGGGGCTGCAGGAGCTTTGGGCTCTTTGGAGACAGAGTGGGAACTAGTGGCCCGGTGCAGACTCAGGGACCTCTCTTTAAAAATACTTTCCAACTTTTCTAGACCACCTTTGTCTTTCACATTGACCGAATAGAAAGAATGGCTTCGCATTCGGGGCATTAAGGTTGGAGAAGTTGGGGACATGGTCTCCTCACCTGCAGGGTCTAGACTCTCTTGGAGCTTGAAGGTGTTGCCCTCCTGGCTGTTGAAGCTGCTCTGACGCACGATGTAGGCCGCGTCGGTGCAGTCGGAGGAGGTCCGCGAGCGGATTTTGTTGGACTCTGCCCGCTCCAGGCCCGCCAGGCGTTCCAGGGCAGTGGCCATGCGGCCAATGAGGTCCTCAAGCTGCGCCAGGCGGATGTCCACGGTCTGCAGGGAGGCCTTCATGCAGTGCTCTCTCTCGTTGACTTCTTCCAGCCGCATGGACATGTTCTCCACCCTGTCAGAGTGGGGACGAGAGAGCAAGAGTCAGTCAGGGCCCGGGGACCAGAGACTAGACAGCAAGATGGAGAGGATCAAAGCTGTACTCGATCCAACTGGCATCTGTGCCCTCCTGCCAGAGAACAAAAGCGGGGTCACAGTCAGTAAGAGGGGGCCAGGGAGCAGAGCAGAACACTGACCTATCGCTGAGGAGCATAAACCCCAAATCTTTTTGAGTTGGAAGAGGCTTGAGAAATGAATCCAGTGGTTTTCACCTGCTAATCTATTTTCCCACAGTGAAGTTTAGTGCACCATTTTACATAAAACAGTTGCAGCCAAGTAAGTTTTTTTTAATCACTGGTACATTTACAAAGTTCTTATACATTGTTTTTCATACTGGATCCTTCCCATTTCCTTCAACCTCCCACCCACCTTCCATCAGATTGTGCCACCCTGTGATTAACCACTCTCTGCGCCCCCCTTCTCACCCCTTTGCTCCCCCCTCTTGGATCCTCATACTCAATTCTGCAATAATGGTTTTATACAGTATTTGTCCTTGTGAGACTGAGTTAGTTCACCCCTGCAATGATTTTGTAAATCACTACCTAGCTTGGGAGGGACTGGAGAGCATTATGCAGCCAAGTAAGTTTTGACACTTGAAGGCTCTACTTGGGTCAGAGGAGAACTGGGCTCTAACAGTATTTCAGTGACCATTGATTTGGCAGTAGATCACCAGGTGTTTGGTTCCAGGCACTTCTGGGTCGACTTGAACATCCAACCCTTTGGTTGGTCACCAAGTGTGCTTACTCATGGTTTGCATCACTCACACAATCCTGATAAAGAAATAAGTACAAAAGGGGAACAGCTCTTCCTGAAATGAATTGGGGCCCAAGTTCCACGCTTTCCCCATCCTGGTGGCAAGCTGTGGCTGGGTGCAGGGCTCGGTGACCTAAGGCAGGTGTATCACCGGCTGGCTAATAAACAGGACTGTTGTATTTTGACAACTGTCCTTACAACTTTGCAGTAAAACTTTGGAATGTAGAAATTTTCATTGTCACATATACCGAATGGCCATGCCTCTCTGGTAGTTTGAAGCTTCCAACTGCCCCATGGGAAAAGGCTGTCTTCTCCCACGTGATTTACAGCCTCTGAAAACCCACTGGAGGGGAAACTAGGAGACAGTTCCAATTCAGGAGCAATGTGTTAGAGATTAATAATGTAAAATGTAAATATCTTTGCCTGGGAATCGTTTATTTTGCCACAATAATTATTTTATGATAACCTTTCTAGAATTTAGTAGAGCTGTGGTGATGCAAGACTTAGCTGGGCTGCTAACCAAAGGGCTGATAGTTCAAACCCACCCAGCAACTCCATGGAAGAAAAGACCTGGCTATCTGCTCTGTAAAGAATACAGCCTTGAAATTCCGATGGAACAGTTCTACTCCCGCCTCCCCCCTCATATGGCTTTGGGATCAAAATTCACTTAATGCCTAACAGTCAGAGCAACAAAGGCAATACTACGGTCTGGTTATCTGGGCATCTGGGTTGAACGGATTTAAATCCAGCTCTTTTCATTAATACAGGGAAAAACACAAGACATTGAACTAAGATTACATATTACAAAATAATTCACAGGGATTCAGGAGGTTCCAGCATCTACCAGTGAAGAAATCATCCTACTCCCTCCCCTCGTTTGCTCTCGAGCCCTCGTTCCATCCTTCCAGGTGACTGGCGTTGATGTCCCTGCATGAGAGTGTAGTTGTGAATGGCAGGATGTCTTAGCAGTGGGCAATGTGTCCACTTGGGACAATTTTCTGGGAAACACATTTTTGTCTGTTTTCATATAACTTCTTAAAAGGCTCGGACACAGATTCATCTTTAGATTTTCAGCCTCTTTTTCCATTTGCCAGAATGTTGCTTCACATCCTATTTTTAGAAAATGTTGTGTTTTTTTTTTTTTACAATGGTTACATTTTACGAATGTGTATCAAATCTGTGCCTGGCTTTCAACTTTATTGCTATTGGCTGGGTACCTACAGATACAATATAATTCAGTGGCATATGTCTATAAGTCTATGCTCCAGATTGAATTCTTCGGAGAAATAAAGGTCTAGAAACAAAAAAAAAGACCTGCAAAAACAAACTGAAAAACCAACCAAACAAAAAAACCCTTCCCACTTATATAATATCTCCAGAGCCATACGAAATCTCTGAATTGATAAACAGATAAAATGTCATATCCTGGTACATTCATAAAATGGAATACTACACAATACGCTGGAGCAATGATTTTGTAAATTACTGCCTAACCTGGGAGGACCTGGAGGACATTATGCTGAGTGAACTAACTCAGTCCCATAAGGACAAATATTGTATAAAACCATTATTGTAGAATGAATATGAGGATGTAAGGGAGGGGGAGGGAAGCAGAAGTATGAGGATGTGCTGGGGGGTTAATCAAAGGGTTGTACAATTTGATGTGGGGGTGAGGGAAATTGGAAGAATCTGGTATAAAAACAATGTATTCAAATTTTATAAATACACTAGTATAATAAAAAATGTCACATGAAAACTAGAAGCAACTGCCTTCAATCTTAGCAACTTGAATCAAATTCATAAACATCTTCAATATATGATGGTTTTTTTTGTTTGCCACTTTTAAGTCTCAAATGTTCCAAATGTAAAACTACATAGGTGGTATTCTTTAGGACAGTGGTTCCCAAATGCTGGGTTTTGAAAGCTCCAGCATGGAATGCCTTCCCCCCCCCCCCCAAGTCTATAGAAAAACAAGGAAGAAAATAAGGAAATTGAAGTGCTTTTTCATAAAACTGGATTTATTAAATTTAAAGGACTCTTTTCCTCTTTATTTTGAGATTGTTTTTACAGCCTTAATGGCCTACAAAGCTATTTGGTTAATGAGACCTAAAAGTATCTAAGCACTGATGTAGAAAAATCTCCCTTTGCTTCTTTCCTTTTAGCTTGTTTCAGAAAAAAGCAAAAGCAAAGCAATCTGGAAACAAACCCTACTCATTATCCCGACTAATTTACGAGCGTCTTGCTGTCTTGTATTCAGGATGTATTGAGCACCCACGTATGTCAGGCATGAGGATTGTTTCTGAGGTTGCTGGGTGGCACCAACAATGAATACACTCAGCAGCCAACCAAAAGACTGGAAGGTCAAGTTTACCCAGAGATGCTTTTGCAGGAAGGAATGGTGATCTCCTTCTGAAAACTCAGCCATTGAAAACACGATGGAAGACAGTTCTCCCCTGAAAGGCAACACACTGCCATGGATTGGAGTATAACACAAGGGCAGCTAGAAAAGTCAGGGGACCATTTCTATTCTGGGAAATATACTTGATGGTTTAGGTGGACCACATGCTATAGAGGAGCCTTGAGATTCGGTTGGGTCTCTCCTCCTTTATGCCAATCTTTTTATTGTTTATGGTCCAAATCTTATCCAGGAACTCCATCCTTATCATGGAATCGACTTAACAGTCTTTTGTGTCTGGGAGAGCAGCTGGCTGGAGAACGCTAGGGTCAGTGAATCTGGAGGTATTTTTTCCTGTCTGATTTTGTATACACTTTAAGCGATGCTCTGTTTTCTCAGCAGCTTGATAGTTCCTTGGACAACAACAATACACACAAGGAATTTCTGTTTTATGGTTGTGTAACTGTATCAAAATAGCAAAAAAAAAAAAACCAGCTGTAGAAAGCATGAGGTTATGTGACATACCTTTCTGAAGTTACTCGTATTCGCTCATCATTGGATGAGTTGAAGCGATCATCCTTTCCCCTGAAATATTCCTCTATGCACTGCTCTTCGAAATCATGTACTTTCTTGAGCTCATCATCAGTTATGAAGAGTTCTGTGAAAAAAAAAAAACAACAACAACACCAAAAACAAACCAACCAAACAAAAAGACATGAGGTGGAGAAGCAAAAGTGATGGTTTCTGATTAGAAGGTCTATAGATATTCTTCATCAAAGTAAGGTTATGAAAGTCTTTCCTAAATCTTCAACTCAATCAGCATCCTACCAGGCAATCTGTCACTGTTTTCTTTGTTCATATTGGATTCACTGAGTGTGAAGTTCACCTGAGCACATCTACTTTGCTGCAGGAGCTGGTGAGGTTTATCAAGTTCTAAGTCCTCTAATGGCATCTCTGGTGGCCTAGTGCTAAGAAACTGTGCTGCAATTCCAAAGGCACATGGTTCGAATCCACCAGTTGTTCCATGGGAGAAAGATGGGCAATCTCTTCCATGAAATTTACTGCCTCTGAATACCCGCTGGAGGGTGAGCTATGGGTTAGTCCTGACTCAACAGCACAAAACAGCAACAAGTTCACAAAGAGAAAAGTCAAAGAAAGGAAAGCTGCACAGAGAGAGGAGGTTTCAAAAAAGCCAAAAACTTTCTGGGCTGAAAATGCTGTAGATAGATATTGCTGGTGGGTCTTTTGCAACATAGTTCTCTCTTCTCACTACTGGGGCTGGAAAGCCAAATAGACAAACTCGCAGTCTCCTCTGAAGCATCAAGCTTCTGAGAGAACAAAACACTGTCTAAAGCATAGACACATCAGTCATGTTTGGACCAGGAAACAGAAAATGTCTCTTGCAGGGAGGGGTGGTGCCCTGGGAAGAGGGTTTGCTTTTCTGGTAAGATACAGAGCTGTGATTACTTCTTTCTATATTATTTTCTTTCTCCTAGTCTTGTTGCCTTGCACAGGAATATAACCATTGATACTACAGTTTTGGGGTTTTTTTTTCTACGCTGAAACAAGACAGGATGAAGAGAATAGCTGTGCCTACAAAGAGGAAGATATAGGTCTTTGAATTAAATGATTGATTGTTCACTCCAGGATGTTTACTTCTTCACTTTTTATTATGTGAGGAAAAAAACCACCTTGTTTGTTTATGTTATTGTTAGCTTGGTTTTGATACTAGCAGGTAAACCAATGAACCGATTCTTTAATAGAAAGAGCCCAGTGGAAACAAATAGTTTTAAATAGCCTTTATAAGTCGAGGTTAGAGTGGGAGGGTGGGTTTGGAAAAGTCATCAGTGGAAGAAGTCTCTCTCCTAATTTTGTATCCTTGAGAAGCCACTGGGGTTATCTGAAAGGTTTAGAAGTCCTGGATTGCTTTGGGAGGTTGTTCTGGTTCTCTTGGGAAATTCATTTGCATAAAAATGTAAAAAAACAGGTAAGAGTAAAGCAAACACCAGAAACTGTATCAGCGATGGTAAGAGAGGAGTCAGAGTGTACTCCTGACACTGCCAGAGGGGAGTGACAGCAACATGATTCCAAGCTCTACGATAGTGGTAGTGATGTTGGCAGCAGTGGCACAGGCTGATGCTGCCAGGAGAGGGGCTACTAAGGCAGTAGCATGGCCCTTCTCCCTTTTGAAGCGGCATGTGTGCTGGTGGCTTATAGCATCCATCACTGGGTAAAGAAGGCCTTCACACTGGCAGCGGGCGGGTGTGGTGGAGGGAAGGGCCAGGCGGCTCTACCTCCAGGGGGCGTTTCGTCTGGCTGGGCTGTCAACTGGGACAGCACAGTGTGACATCTAACTAGATAACACCTACCCTAGTAATATGTCTAACTAAGACCATTCTTCTCAAATATGGCAGACTTTTTTGAAAGGGAAGAAACAACCTTATCAGAGGAAAGTTCTTGGGATTCAGCCATGAAATTGTACAGAACATTAGCTAGGAGGGTGGGGAGTGAAAATAGGAAGCTCCTGGAGCCCTCCAAAGCACAGACTCTTTCCTGTTATTGCTATATTTTAGAGCAAAGGAAATAAATAGGGAGAGAGCGTCACTTGTGTCTGGCTGATTGTTTTGTACATCTTACCATTAATAATGCTGCAGTGTAGACTTATGTTATCATTCTCAGATGTTCACTGCTTTGAGTTATTGTTTGAAATGTGTCTGGTCTACAATGCAGTAGGTGGGAGGAGTCATTGTTGTGCATTGTGGAGTTGGAACTGACTCAGAGCTGACTCTGCAGCAGGTTTTGAGAGGCAGTTAATGGAAAGGAGAAGAGTGCTCGCTCATCTTTCTCCTGCAGAGCAGTTGGAGGATTTGAAATGCATATCTTTGAGTTGGTAGTGCACTTCCTTGCCACTAAGCCATCAGAACTCTTCTAGTGGATAGAAGGTTTGAGGATGTTCAACCGTAACAACATATGGCAGTCTGTGTACATGCCCAATAGCTGTGAGACTCTGACTTCATTGTTAAGACATTGTTACAGACTTCCGGCATATTAGGCTTACAAGCAAGATCTAACTGAGTGTTTTGTACTATCAGAAGCATCAGTTGTTACTATGAAGCTGAGTTTTTCAAGTTTCTCATACTGTAAAACCTGTACCGATTATATCCCCATAATGTGGTTAGCAAAATAAATAATGTCATTGTATGTTCTAAAGCAAAAGAAGAAGGTGAGGAAGACTCTAGCCATGAAGATGAAGATGAGGAATGTTAAGGTCTATGATAATGGGTAGAAAGTTGGTGAAATTTCATGTGAGGAAGAGTGATCTCGTTTGATTGTTTCAATAATCACCAAGAATAAGATTGTGGAGGCAACTATAGGAACAAGTAGCCATTTTTAACAAAGATAAACCAAGGGTCTATTAAGCCACAAGATGAGAAAGTTGTTGATAATTTGGGTAGATCAAGTCCAGAAGAGGATTCCTATGAGTTTACCACTTTTTTTTTTAGTTTACCACTTCTTTTAAAGAAACCTGAAGGAATAGCAATGGGAAGACTTTCACCAGCAGTTTTATTCGTTTCATTGCTTTGAACACAGCTTTGACTTACGGGACGTGTGAATAACTGGAGAAGCAGGAAGTTAACGATGAAGCTGCTGAGAAATTCAAAGGTGAACTGGGTAAGACAAGATGAGGGCTAGCAGAGTGGATTATGGGATATTTCTACCCCTTCCCCCAGGACAAATAAAGATTGAATTTATAAAGATACTGATAATAAAAAGCAACAATAATGAAAATGGGAAAAATATTAAGTCTTTTATCTACATCAGAAGTGACTTACAATAGGTATTGGAAAGGAATCCTATTGTAAGTCAGAGAATACCTGGACTTCATATTTACTCTCCTGACATCTTAAATAGTGTATTGTTTGATTTGTTTGGCCATATAAAATGCGGCAGGTTTTTTAAAAAGAAAAATAACCCCACAAAATATGTCAGATTTTACATTTCAAGGTGAATTCATCTAAGATTCTGCAAGAACTCGACCTTGGAGGAGACTGGGTTGTGGTATTCTAGGCTCTTTTTACTAGGCTATGGATTGAAAACTCCTCATCACTGGACCAACAGACAACAACATGATAGATGGAGAAAAGATTGAAGCTGTCAAGGATTTCATTTTACTTGGATCCACGATCAATACCTATGGCAGCAGCAGTCAAGAAATTAAAGACATGCTGCATTGAGAAAATCTGCTGTCAAGCCCCTCTCCAAGTGCTAAAGAGAAGAGCAATGATGTCAGTTTAAAGGCTAAGGTGCACCTGATCCAAACCACAGTTCAGTAGCTCCTGTGCATCTGGAAGTAAGGATGACCAATGAAGAATCAAGGTCTTTGAACTGTGGTGTTGGCAGAGTACTGAATATCCCATGGACGGACAAAGGAACAAGCAAAGCTATCTTGGAGGATGTGCAACCAGGATACTTCTTAGAGGCAAGGATGGTGAAACTTCTTCTCACATACTGAGTGTGTTGTCAGGAGGGGTCATTCCTTGGAAAAGGCCATCATGCTGGGAAGGAAGAAGAGTCAGAAGACCCTCAGCAGAGTGGATCGCTACAGTAAGGGTGACAACAGCATGTCAGAGGTTGTGAGGATGGTGCAGTAAAGGGCAAGCTATAGATCTGTTGTTCATCGGGTCACTATGAGTTGTAGTCAACTTGACAATACAACAACAACAACAACAACAACATGGATTGATATTGAAATTGTACCACATCATCTTAACTAATGATGTTAATGATTTTTACTTACATCCACAATTAACACACATGGTAGCAGTAATCAAGAAATCGAAAGACATATTGCATTGGCCAAATCTGTAGTTAAGGACTTCTTTAAAGTGCTAAAGAGCGGGATTGCAAGTTTAAAGACTAAGGTGTCTGACTCAAGTTACAGTATTTTCATTTGCTTCATATGCACGTGGAAGATAAACAATGATAAGGAAGACCATCAATAAGATGGATTGGCACAGTGACTTCAAGGATGGAGTTGGGCATAGTGGAGATTGTGAGGCTGATGCAGGATAGCACAAGGTTTCAATCATAAGGTCATTATAAGTGGGAGTCAGCTCCATGGCACCTAAAAGCAACAATATTGATTGGCATAAAGTAGATGTCCACATCTGTGTCCTTCACCCCTTCTGACCCTGTCACAGCTCTGAAATCCTTCTCTGAGAAAGAGCTCACAATTGCTCCATACCCTCCACATTTGGTGTCACTGCTATTATTGGTGATAAGAAAGCCATAAACTTGAACTTTGTGTAGTTGGCTTGTTCAGGTCTCTGGCCTTCTGAGTAGGTGCAGACATGAGATGAATGGGCCCCTGGTTTGCCTTGCTTTCTTTGTTGTATTTCTAGACTTTTTTCCTAAACTCTGGCAAAATGAGATGCTTCTTTAATGTATCAGACAACTTTTATTGTAAATGACTTTGGAGTCTTAAGTAAATCTTCAATTTATTATCTATTGTTAAATGATAATCCACTAATAGCTCTCTTCTGTGTCAATTTGTCAATTTACACCCCTACACTGTTCAAAGGTTACACCATAGGTAGTTCTTTTTGCCTTCATTTTTGTTGTCTTCTGCATCTACTCCTGCTGCTCTATCTTCTTCCTCTTGACTTTGTTTTCTTCATCCTCTTCCCCTCCATTCTCTAAGGTTTCTATGTGTCTAATATTTGCAATTAAATGGAAAAGAGATTGGCATCCTCAGTTTCCCCCAACTCTCAAATTCTAAAATTTAGAAAGACAGTGAGTATTACTATGCCAGGGAAAATGTAAAACCTTCAGACTAGAAAAGTAGTTGACTAAGTGACTTTGATTTTAAATCTTAGATGTACTTGTGACCATGTGGAAAACTTTCAGATACTTAGGAAACAATTGAAAACACCATGGCTTGGATCAGGTGTAAATTAGTCTTTACAGTGATATCCCTGTTCACTAGAATTTTAGAGAGATCCTTGACAGTAGATTTCCACAGTGCAACACATCTTTTGATTTCTTGACTGCTATTAGCATAGGTGTTGATTGTGGATTCAAGTAAAATATAATAATTGACAATTTCAATCTTTTCTACAGTGGTGAGGAATTTTGGTTTTTTGATATTGAGATGTAACCCATATTGAAGGTTGTTGTCTTTGATCATTTGATCCTGAGCGTATCTGAACTGGATTTTAAAATTATCTTAAGAATAGATTTGGTGCATTCACCACTAGTGACTTAAGGCCAGATAAGTTGTGTGATGACATCAAGGATCTCATCCAGAGATGAAAAAATCATTAAAAAGAAAAAAAGGAAAGAAAAGATCAAAATAAATGTTAGAAGAGACTCTGAAACTTGCAATGGAATGAAAAGAAGCCAAAAATAACAGAAAAAAAATACTAAGAGATCCAGACAGAAGATTCCAAAGAACAGCTGGATAAGACAAAGATAAGTATTCATTTAATGGGTTTGTCATTGTGTCCTGTTGTTGAGTCAGCACTCAACAGTGGTGCTGAGGCTGGAGATAGAATGATAGAATTTCAAAATCATCTCAGGAACAAGTTTGAGGCCTTGGGCACAAATGAACGTAGACCAAATGAGCTGTGGGAGAATATCAAGAATATTGTTCATGAAGAAGGCAAAAGATCATTACAAAGGCTGAAGAGGAAGAAAAGACCAAGATGGATGTTAAATGAGACGCTGAATATTGCATCTGAGTGCCAAGAACACAAAGCTAAAGGAAGAAATCAAGAAATTAAAGAGCTGAACAGAAAGTTTCAGGGTGACAAAGCAAGATACAACAATGAAATGTGCAAAGAGCTGGAGTCAGAAAATCAAAAGGGCCAAACTCGCTCAGCATTTCTTAAGCCAAAGGAGTTGAAAAGAAATTCAAGCCATGAGTGGCAATACTTAAGGATGCTTTGGGTAGAGAGTTAAATGGTCTAAGAAGCAGTAAAAGAAGATGGTTGGAGTATACAGAGTCACTACACCAGAAGGAATTGGCTGACACAGAAGAATTTCATGAAATAACATATAAGCAAGAGCCTGGAATGATGAAGGAGGAAGTTCAAGATGCTCTGAAAGAAATGGCAAAAAGCAAGCCTCCAGGAGTTGATGACATATCAACTGACATATTTCAACAAACAGATGCTGCCCTGGACGTCCTGACTAAATTGTATCAAGAAATCTGGAGCATAGCCAGCTGGTCAACTGACTGGAAGATATCGATATTTGTTCCCATTCCAAAGAAAGATGACCCGACTGAGTGCAGAAATTATTGAACAATACCATTAATATCACATGTAAGCAAGATTCTGCTGAAAACTATCCAAAAATGACTGGAACAGCATGTCAACAGAGAACTTCCAGATATGCAGGTTGGTTTTAGAAGAGGTCGTGGTACTAGGGATATTATAGCTAATGTTAGATGGATCTTGGCAGAAAGCAGAGACTACCAGAGGATTGCCTACCTGTGCTTCATTGGCTATGCAAAGGCTTTTGACTGTGTGGGTCACAGTAAGCTGTGGCTGACTCAGAAGAATGTGAATCCCAGAACATTTGATTGTGCTTATGTGAAACCTATACTTGGACCAAGAGGCAGTTGTCAGAACAGAGCAAGGAGACTGCATGGTTCAAAATTCGGAAGGGGGTCTGAATGTATTCTGTCTCCATACCTGCTCAATCTGTATGCAGAACAGATCATCGGGGATGCTGAGCTATATGAGGAGGAATGTGATATCAAGATTTGTGGAAGATTCATTAAGAACCTGCATTATGCACATGACACAACCCTGCTTGCTGAAACTGAGGAGAACCTGAAGCACTTGCTGCAGAAAGTCAAGGACTGCAGACTTCAATATGGATTGAAGCTCAACATCAAGAAAACAAGATTCTCACTACTGGGCCAATTGGCAGCATCAGTATGGTTGGTGAAGAAATTGAGATAGTTAACAGTTTTAGTTTGCTTGGCTCCACAGTCAACACTCTTAGTACCAGCAGCCAGGAAATCAAGAGATGAATTGCATTAGGAAAGTCAGCTGTCAAGGACCTCTCCAGAGTACTGAAGAGCAAGGACGTCAGGCTGGAGACTACGGTGCTCCTGATCCGGGCTATAGTCCTTGCAATTGTGTGCTATGCATTGGAGAGCTGGACAGTGACTAGGGATGACAGAAAGATAACTGATGCCTTTGAGCTGTGATGCTGGAGAACAGTGTTAAATATACCATGGACTGCTAGGAGAATAAACAGGTTTGTCCTGGAGAGGGTGAAGCCAGTCTGCTCCTTGGAGGCAAGGGTTCTGAAGCTTCATCTGACATACTTTGGTCATATTGCAAGGAGGGACCAGTCCTTATAGAGGGACATCATGTTTGGGAGAGTGGAGGGAAGGTGTAGGAGAGGAAGACTCTTGATGAGATGGATTGATTCAGTGATTGGGGTAGTGGGATAGGTGTTTCAGAGACAATGAGGTTGACACAGGATAGAGCAGAGTTTAGGGCTCTCAACTTGCAGTCACTGTGAGTCACAAGCAAATCAATGGAACGTAACAACAACAGTCAAATGAGTGACTCTTAAATAAAGTGAGACCCAGAGAGATGAGGCTGCCCAGTGGAGTTCCACCTCACATGGATTTCACTGTACAATGCGGCACTGAGTGTGTTATTAATATAGTGCATCTACTTGATCCATTTTGTGATGGGACTTCTGGAAAGCAAGAGAAGTTAGAACTTACAGGGGTGCTGAAACACAAGCTGTAGATTGATTTTATCTTACTAATAAAGAAAACGTTGGAAGGACGAGTGGCATCCACTTCCATAATAGCTTGCCTCCGGAAACCCTATGAACCTGGAGAGAGGATGAAAGCCTTCCAAGCATTGAGGACTCTCCTTCATAGGGTCGCTATGACTCGCCTGCGACTCTATGGCACTTAACAACAACAAGAAAGAAAGTGAGGCTGAGAATGTTCAAATTCAGCTCCTCCTATCTTTTGTCCTGCACTGTTTCTCTCCCAGGTCCCTCTGGCTGTTTTCCGTCTGCAGAAAGCGGGGG